CAGCGTGGAATTGTGAAAAAAAATGGAATTATCCTCCTTTTTTTTAATATTGTACTTAATCTTATTTAAATTTCAGTATATTCAACGCCAAATAATAAAAATTGTACCATCTCTGCATCGTCGGCATTTCTGATATAGCATGTACACAATATATATGTATATATAGCATTGTGACCTTTCGCCACGTCATAAAAGTAAAAAAAAAAAAAAATAAACTAAATTGGATTCAGACGTGAGAAGAGTGCGTAGAATGTAGATCATATATAGAGTTACTAAAACAATTTTTTGTAAATAGAATCAAAAAATTATTATAAAAAAAATGATTTTTATCACTTATATGGTAGCAGCGTAAAATTAATTAAACGAAACATAAAACTTTTTTGATAAAGAAATTTTTTTTTATAGGTTTCAATATGTAATATCGACTGATTTTGTTTTGACGAGTTTATTATTTACAAAAAAAAAAATTATAACAATTTAGATAATTTGCTGCTCTTAAGTAAGTGTTAATTGACAATTAACAATTTGGTATATACATAAAAGAGGACATTTTACATTCAATGAAATAATTCGTCTTGTCAACAAGGAGCTTTATAATTAAGCTCTATTGTTAAATTTAGAGTCAGTTCCCATTTTGAGTGATAAAATAGTTAAAACTCGTTTATTAATTCATTTGTACTCTCGAGAGAGTGATTCTACTTGAGCTTAAATTGAAGCTTTGATTTTTGGCTATGAAAAAAAAATCGATTTGATAAGGATTTACTTTAAAAAACTGTTTTTCTATAATTTCATGATTTTTTTTTTCAAAAACATAATTTTTGAACGATAATATATAAATCAAGAAATAAATAAATAAATATTAGTTTAGAAATTTTATTTTCCTACCACATAATAATTAAAAGCATAATAAGAAGAAATGAAATTTAATGAAAAATAAAGAAAAAAAAAAGGTGAATTTCCAAAGACCTGACTTTCATTAACGCTACCTCATCTCTCTCTCTCTCTCTCTCTCATTCTCACTCATCGTTTAAACACTTCATCTTTTCTCTTACTTTTTATTTGTATTTTCTTTTTATTCAAGAGACAGTCGGACATTTTACCTTCCTTTTCATTTCTTGAACGTATATATACAGTGAAAATGAATTGAGAGGGTAAGAAAAATACACAATAAAAACGTGAATCACACTCTTGGGAATTCTTTCTGATTTTCTTATTTATATCCCGATATATATTTTTGTGTCTATTCTTTCTTATTTTTTTTTATCTTTTTTTTTATTATAAGAACTCAAATAAAATTCAATGAATATATAAAATATATCATTTTTACTAAATAAATACGCGTGACAGATTGATAATAAAATATTAGAGAAAAAAAGATGGGTAAATTTTCAAAATAAAAATACTTTTATTATTTAGAATTAAGAGAAATAACAATAGATATTTACCGTAAGCAATTTTCATTGCCAAATTAAGTTTACACTCGTGTCGTGTTCTATATGTATATGGTTTTGTTTCCCCAGAGCACCAAGACACTGAGGGACCACAAACGCAAGCTCCTACTGCGTTTCCGGCTGAATCTGTAATTCCCTCGCCAACAAGGTTACATCCTGCCTCGGACATTTTTGACCCGTGCGGACAGTGCCTCCTCCATCTTCCCGGGATTTCTATGGTAATGTACACACAAAAAGAAAATTATTTAAAAATTGACATTTAGTATTCTTTCTTTAATTAATTTAATTAGAAAAAAATACAATTTAATTAAAAGATTGAGAAAGAAATTTTTATTTATCTTATGAGAAAGAAACAGAATATTTGCCTATATTTTTTTGATTTAAAACATTTTTTTAAAATAAAATTTATTAACGAAAAATACTTTATTAGAAACAAAATTCATTAAAAAATATTTTTAAATAAAATATTTTTTTTTCTAAAAAAAATTATTAAAATAAAAAAAAAAAGTTGGCAAATATTCTTGTATAGATATTAATAGAAAAATAATAATTTTATATATATACAATAAATTAATATAGATAATTAATAATAATTTAATTTTAGTCTCTTAGTTCCATTAACAAAAGCTAAAAACAAATCTCTATTTTCTTGATAAAAGGATAAAAAATTTTATTTCCTTTGTTATATGAAATATAATAAATATTCTTCATGTGCGTGACCACAAATAAATTAAATTTCCTCAGAATACAAAGTCTTTTCATGTCAAAGAAATATGAAAGCTTGCATTGCGTCAAAACACACGGAAAATTTTTGAACATTAATTTACGAATATGTTTTATTTTTATAAATAACATATAATGACAAAAACACACTTTTATTCTTTATATTTCTGAGTTAAATTTATTTTTACTTTTTTTATATTAATTTTTTTTCAATATTTTTTTTTAATATTTTTTTTATTACATTATTTTTATTGTTATATTATCGTTTTCAATGAGAAACATTTTTCCCCCAAAAAATAATATTATATAGCTCTCTTTATATATATAGAAATATAAGAAACATAGACATTTATGAAATACGTAGGTAGTAGTATGTCATGAAAACGAATTTGCAACGCTTGATATTTTCAGAGTACAAAGTGAAGTAACAATAAAAAGTCGAAAAAAAAAGAAAAAGAAAAAAGATGTCATAGAATTGAAAACCTCTTTCCTTTTACCCCTTGCATTTTTATCTCGAGCCTCATGCTACTTCAATCGAATGGCAAAAAGCAGTGTGTGTATATGCCCTCTCTCTTTCGTGTGCAAGTTCTGTTTCGTCCAGTCGATCACACTTCTCAACTTCAATATTTTATGCTTTTCAAGCTCATGTCAAATGACATATTTTAAAAAGTTGTGCGGAAAATTGTGTGACTATATATTTCCTTTTTATATATACTCATATACTATTTTTTTTTATCAGAATCAATTGAAAATTATTGACAAATATGTGTATAATAATTTGTTGGAATATAATTTTTGAAAAAATATTTGACATTTTTAAAACTTAAAATACGATGCATTATTTTTTTTTAAATATACGCCTGTAAACTTGTCGCTTTATATATATATTTCATTGAACTTCCTTCAAAAGTAGGGTAAAAGCACGCGGGAGTAGTCGCAGACACTTTTTTAAGGATACGATCTTTTTTTTCCCTTGAAATAACACGAATAACTTGAAGAAGCACATTATCGATATTAAAATACTTACTCAGGTTTGAAAAGTCATATTAATTTTCTGAAAAAAAGTACTTTAATATTTAATAAAAGGTAATAAAAAAAAAACTTGTAAAAGTGACTTGCTTTTTACGGAGTTAATAAAAAAAATAATAATTACTATTTATTTGCAAAAAAAAAAAACATAAAAATGTTCCCGAAATTATCCGCGTTTACTCTATAACAATAAAATAAGGAATCTAATATTTCAAGTAGTTTCTCTAAAGTGTCAATAAAAGTTATGAGTCACAAAACACTCGAACAAGAATAAAACACCGGAAATTAAATCATCTCTTCCAAGACAATATTTAATCTTTATGATTTTTACAATATGAGTAATGGTAAATTTAATTATTAATAATTTTTAAATATTCACATCCGCAGTCTTTCATTCAATTATAAAATTTAACTTATTGATTTATGTCTTTTTATTATTTTATCAATTTGTGAAATATGTTATTAATATTTCTTTATATCAATTTTCATTTAATATTTTATAAATTTGAAAGCAAATTTTATAATTATATTATTTTTTAATTTGTTTTTATTTTAAATCTAGAAAAAAATTAAGGCGCCTGCGTTCGCCTCAGTCTATTTCCTTACTTGTTAACGCGTCTGACACAATAGGCGATACATCACTTGCGCGAAACTACGGCTACGGCTGATCATACGCTTACTTGTATCACTATGGCGCTCTGTCTCCACTGTCCGTACTTTACCTACTCGTTACAGTGACTAGAGAGTCATTATTACACTATTTTTAAATATAAAATTATGATTTTTCAAAATACTTACAAATAGAACGCAAATACATTTCGTAATTCTACATTTAATGCTCGTAATATATTGAAATATTTTAAATTTTTACAATTTTCTATAAAGTGTGATTTGACCATTATTTTTGAGGTGATTTCCACTTTAAAGGAAATAGAATGAAAAAAAGGAAATATATTTTAGATACAATTCACGTTGCGTTGTTGAAAAAGTGCTTGCGGTAATAGCAAATACTTTTTCGTTGTGGATCGCATTCTCTAAATCGTACAGAGAGAGAGAGAGAGAGAGAGAGAGAGAGAGAGAGAGAGAGAGAGAGAGAGAGAGAGAGAGAGAGAGAGAGAGAGAGAGAGAGAGAGAGAGAGAGAGAGAGAGAGAGAGAGAGAGAGAGAGAGAGAGAGAGAGAGAGAGAGAGAGAGAGAGAGAGAGAGAGAGAGAGAGAGAGAGAGAGAGAGAGAGAGAGAGAGAGAGAGAGAGAGAGAGAGAGAGAGAGAGAGAGAGAGTGTATCGAACGTACTGGTTTCAGGTATATAACAATGTATAACCCTTCTTTCTTTCGTTTCTTTTGCAGCTATTCAAACACATCCCCTCTCCTCTCCCTCCTTTTTTTATCAATAAATATTAACGCTGTGTAGATTTTTCAAGAGCATATATTTATTCTTCTCCCGCATTTTAACGCTTATCAAAAAGAATTTTATTCAACAAAGGAATAACTGTCAGAGACAGCTAACAGAAAAATTTTCGTTACATTTTTTTTTTATTATATAGTAAAAAATAGTATTTTAAAAATAGATTATCAATTTATTAAAAAAAAAAAATATTGTGCTTTTTATTATATTTAAAAAATGTTAACTCAATTTGATATAACAAACCTGATAATGATACACACACACAATGAAAAAAAAATATTCTTTTTTTTCTCTGGTATTGACGTTGAAAACGTGCCTTTGTGACACATTTGTTTTTATTTGTAGGTACAATTTAAAAATTTGTGGTAAAAAAAAATTGGTAAACAAAGTTTTTTTTTTTATTTCTTTATTATATAAAAAACAGTTAATTGACAATAGTTGTGATTTTTAGATTGTGAATAATAAAACGATATTTTGATATATCAAGCGTTTCAAACGAAACCCGCGGATTTTCTCTTATGGAAAATATTTATTATTACCAAATAATAGAAACAAGTGATGCATGTATTATAAATCGAGTGAAGGAACTTTTGAGAACGAAAAGTATTTTCGTTTCTTTTTTTTTTTTTTAAAGGAGATTTATAACATTTCGACTTTCATTTCATAAACTCCATCAGTTGTACCAAAATAAAATTTATTATTTCCATTCGCACCACAAAGAATTCGTACATTATTATCAAAATTATATTCGGCTATAACTTTTGTTTTAAATTTTCCCTCAATTACCTCCTCATTTAATTTATAAACAATTCCTTTATTATTAATATTACCATAAATGTAAGTTTTTTTATGTTCTGGTGAATATAATAAAAAATCATCATCAATATCAACATTAGAAAGATCTATTCCATCTATTGTTGTAACATACGATGATTCTTTATTCATTGCTGTTGAAATATACATTGTATCACGAAAATATATTAATTTCACTTGTTTTTCACCATTAACAATACAATAAATATGATCATCCATTGCATTCATTTTCTTAACAAAAGATAACATTTGCGCAACCGGTTTAATAAAATGACCATATTTTATATAAACCCAATGTCTAGGAGTGCCAATACTAAAATATGTGTATTCATATTCTGAACCAAATCTCGTATTATTAGAACGTATCCAATTGGTAATTTTTTTTTTCGAATAAAATGGAATTTCAATATTTGACGTGTATTCTTCACCATTTTTTAAATGCATTAATTGTTTATCAATTGCAAAATGAACTATATTTTCACCGAGTGCAAAAGGTCTACTGACTAATTTTTTATTGTGATAATTTGTTACATTGTCAAAAACAAAAGTTCCATTAAGTAGAGGTGTTACAATGAAAATTTTTAATGCATTATCTTGAACATATATATTGTCAAATTGATCTATTCCCAAACCTTTGTGAACTGATTTTTTTGATGGTAGATTTATTCTTTGACATGAAATATTTTCATTAGATGTTAATAAACATGTTGATAATTTTTTATCTTTCACAATATACCATCTTCCTTTACTGTCAATGACAAGATCTGAAAATGCTCCAGACGTTCCTTTGACTTTTTCCAATTTTTCAGCTCTTGTAAAAGTTATTAATAAAAATAAAAATAATAATTTCATTTTTACGTGTTTAACGCAAAAAAAAAATTTCTATGTAGATAAAAAATAACCAACTTTATAATTTAAATGACATCACATCTAGAAAAAATAAATATTATTTTTATAAACTAGTTATATAACTATATATAATTATTATAAAGTAAACATTTACCTTTTACTTTTTATTATTTGCAACCACATTGAAAAAACTTTTTTTTAAAGTTAAGAACAAATATGAAATATTCCGTAGTAGTCTAAATACTATATGATAGATATTGTTCTCAATAAAATCTACTTAATGATTCTCCAACATTTATTTTTTTTTCTCTCTCTCTTTCTCTGTGAATGATATCAACTTACGTAACACTATTGGCAATAAGATTACATAATCGTACATTTTTTAAAATAAAAGTGTAATTTTAATGAGAAATTTTCCGCTTTTATTTACAAAAATTGCATATACTTTAATTAGAGAATTTAAAATGAAAAAATTATCGTTAAAAATGTTTTTTAAATATTTATAATAAGATATTTCAAAAAAGAATATAAGATATTTCAAAAAAGAATATCAAAGAATATTTTCTTTTACAATCTTTAATAAAGTAGGTTGATTTTTTCATAATTTTTAAAATTAAAAATATTATTCTAAAGTGCTAAGTAATATGACAGATTAATATATATTTTTTGTACGTTTTTTTAGAACACAGATGGAAAGAAAATAGAAGACTACTGGAATTCTACTGGAATAAAACAAAAAACTATTAGTTCCATATTAGAACACTAATAAATCGCTACTAAAACAATACTGAAATCTTATCAGAACAAATTTGCAGACTTAAATAATGTGGAAAAACCGAAAAGGCAACAATTATCGACATAGAAATCTGCCGTACAGATTGATAGTTAAAAAGGAAAACAGAAAAGACAAAATTATATATGCCAAAAAACGAAAAATGAAAAGACAAAAAAATTATGTACTCGGAAATCTACTTTACCGACTGATAGTAAAAGAATTAAGAATTTTTTTTGAAAAATGGAAATATAAAAAATTACCGACACAGAAATCTACCTTACCGACTGATGGTAAAACAGTTTTTTTTGAAAAATGAAAATATAAAAAATTACCGACATAGAAATCTACCTTACCGACTGATGGTAAAACAGTTTTTTTTGAAAAATGAAAATATAAAAAATTACCGACATAGAAATCTACCTTACCGACTGATGGTAAAACAGTTTTTTTTGAAAAATGAAAATATAAAAAATTACCGACATAGAAATCTACCTTACCGACTGATGGTAAAACAGTTTTTTTGAAAAATGAAAATATAAAAAATTACCGACATAGAAATCTACCTTACCGACTGATGGTAAAACAGTTTTTTTTTTGAAAAATGAAAATATAAAAAATTACCGACATAGGAATCTACCTTACCGACTGATGGTAAACAGTTTCGAAAAATTTCAAAAATTACCATCAGTCGGTAATTACTATCAGTCGGTAAGGTAGATTCCTATGTCGGTAATTTTTTATATTTTCATTTTTCAAAAAAAACTGTTTTACCATCAGTCGGTAAGGTAGATTTCTATGTCGGTAATTTTTTATATTTTCATTTTTCAAAAAAAAAACTGTTTTACCATCAGTCGGTAAGGTAGATTTCTATGTCGGTAATTTTTTATATTTTCATTTTTCAAAAAAAAACTGTTTTACCATCAGTCGGTAAGGTAGATTTCTATGTCGGTAATTTTTTATATTTTCATTTTTCAAAAAAAACTGTTTTACCATCAGTCGGTAAGGTAGATTTCTGTGTCGGTAATTTTTTATATTTCCATTTTTCAAAAAAAAATCCTTTTACTATCAGTCGGTAAAGTAGATTTCCGAGTACGTAATTTTTTTGTCTTTTCATTTTTCGTGTTTTACCATAATTCTTGTCTTTTCAAGTTTCTTTTATTGTATATAAACAATTATATGAATAAAAATTACTCTTTATAAATCATTTTCTTTATTTCAAATCATACATACATATTTTCCCTGATTTTTTATTTCCTTTTTTTTCTTTTTAATTATAAGAAGCACATATTGTTAACAGGCGCATTTGTTAAATGTCTTTTAATTCGTAAATCCCATCTGATGTTCCAAAATATAATTTATCATTTTCAATAACACCACACAATATACGAATGTTGTCGAGTTTATTTGAACTAACAATTTCTGTTAAATTTTTTCCATCTTTCAAAAATGTATCTAATCCATAGACAATTCCCGAATTATTATTATCAACATTACCATAAATAAATGTCTTATAATTATTAACACGTGAAAAAATAACAAAATCACTATTATCATCAATGTAAATATTTTCTATTCCTTCCAATTTTGAGGGATAAGTAATTTCTTTGTGATATTCTGGAATGAATTTTGGTTTTTCTCTGTATTCTATAATATTTACACTATTGTCATAATTTACAGTAAAATAAACACGATTTCCTATTACATTTAGACGTTTAACATGGCCTTTTGTTTGACAAAGTGGCACTGCTGTTCCCGATGATATAACATAAATCCAATGTCTCTTATCACCATTAACAGTGTAAAATATTTCTTCAAAAGAATCACCATATCTTTCGGTAATATTGAAACGAATGAATTGTGAAATTTCCTTCTTTACGCGAGGTGGAATTTCCATTTTTTTAGCACGTAAAGCACTATTTTCTAATTCCATTGGACCATTTTTTGTTGCAAGATAAACGAGATTATCACCAAGTGCAAATGGTCTACTAATAAGTCGTTCATTTTTATGTTCTAATTCTAATTTTTCAATTACAAAAGTTTCATGTATCGACGGAGCAACAATAAATACAGATAATTTATCATCTTGAATATAAATATTGTCAAATTGATCAATTCCCATTCCCTTATGAACTAATTCTTCCGATGGTAGTTGAATTTTATTTAAAGTTTTTCCCTTGTCTAATGAATAATATAATTTTCGATCTCTAATAATATACCATCTTTTATTATTGTCAGCAATAATATCAGAAAATTCACCTGCTGTTCCTTGAATTTTTTCCAATTTTTCAGTTACTATTAAACCAAATAGGGATAAAAAAATTATAATACTTATATTCATATTGTGTGGAATAATTTTTTTTAAATTTCTTTTTAAAAAATTCTAGTTGAATAACTTTATTTGAAATTGATGTCCAGTTAAAATGAATCTAAAAAGGAAGATTTTATTATGTCTTTTTATGCATTTTATTTTATTAGTGTAAAAAATAATATTTCAACATTTATAAATAATTCTATATTGATCTAATTAATTTTACCTGTTTATTTCCTGCACGTTTTTATAATGCAGGATGTAAATAGAATTTATTATTTATTATACAACTTTTAGAATTTTTTTTTAACTATATAGGAAACTTTGCTTTTAGAATAATGTTTGTCTTGACCTCCGGATAGACTTTATACCACTCTCTTTTACCCCTTCTTTTATTGACAAAACAAAAATTACTTATTGGATCAAGATAAACTTATCAAAAAAAAAAAAAACAATATATTTTCGAAATATATAAAAAAAATTCCCCTTTTTAGTTTTTACTAATGCTTCTTTTATTTTAATTATTATTTTTTATTTTATTTTTGTTTATTTATTAATATTATTATTTTTATCTAATGCTTCTAATTTATCTCGAAACATTTTCTCCACAATGCGGTTTTCAAAACCTTTACTCCCTACAGAATACGAATAAGTACCATATATGAAGTTCTTCTCTCTACGAGATCGAAACTTTATATATACTTACATTTTTTTTTCTCCATTATTTATGAAAGTGCATCTAATCCATAAGCAATTTTTGAATTACCAATATTTCTCTAACATATATATGTTTTTATTTATAATAACTTACAATTGAAAATATTAAATCATTTTCGCTATATCGTGCGCATATTTATTCGTAACAAAAAAAAAAAAAGAAAATTGAAACACGTCACTCGAATGTAATTTCCGTATATTTTTCACATTTATTTCACGTCAAAAACTTTTATAAAATTTATAATCACTATTTTTTGAATTTATTTCAAACAATATTATATTGGCATGAGAAAATCGTTCTTTAATCTAAAGTTATAACATTGAATCTTTAATATATCTAGGAAAAACCATGACCCCAAACGATAGCCTTTTAATAATAAATTCTTTGCATTCTTCATTAAACAGATTCATTTTGCAACTATCCAAAGTATCAGAAGTTTGTATTTTATGTAGTAAAAGAATAATAATAATAATAATAATAATAATAATAATAATAATAATAATAATTTTTTTACCCTAATCGATTAATAAAGCTTTCAGTTTTTCTTTCCTTATGCTTACTATTCATTAATTTATAAACACCATTTGATGTTCCAAAATAAATGGTATCATTATAAAAAACAGCACAATTAAAGGTCACTTTATCATTCAAGTTGGACACTAAATCTACTACAATATTACCATCTGAATTGTTATCCCCTAATCTATAAATAGTTCCCTTATCATTGACATTCATATACACGTATGTTTTATTATAATAGGGTGAATAAATAATAAAATCATTTTCAAAATTAATATTCGAAGCTTCAATTCCTTCTATCTTTATAGGAATCATTAATTCATCACTATCTTCTATAACATTAATTTGATTTATATCATTAACAACATAATAAATATTATTATTCACGACATTCATTCGTTTCACTGATGATTCTGTTTGCCAAATGGGTTTCTCGTGTGAATAATATAAACGATATATCCATTGTCTATTGGCACCACCACTATAAATAATTGCCTCAATTTTATAATTAAATGATGTTGTATAATTTAAACGTAATGCATGTGTAATTTTTAAATTTCCATAAGGTGCTACATGTAATTCATCAGCAGATTTTTCATATTTATTTTTTAATTTCATTAAACCACTTTTAGAAGCAAAATAAATATTATTCTCCAATGAAAATGGCCTACTCACTAATCTTTCATTAACATGTGGTAATGATATTTCTTCAAAAAGAAAATCACCACTTTCTGAACGTATCACTCGAAATAGAATTAAATTCCAATCTTGAACATAAATATTGTCTGATTCATCAATACCCAAACCTGTACGAACTGATTGTTTTGATGGTAAATCAATATCTTCACGAGTTACACCTTTGTCTATAGATGTACAAAGTTGTGTGTTATAAATAATATACCATCTTCCCCTGCTATTTAGAATTATATCTGAGAATTCACCAAAAGTTTCTTCAATTTTCACTAATTCTTCAGCTACAGTGAGAGTAAAAAAAAGTAATAAAAGTTTCATTCTTTTATTTTAATTATCCAACAATTCTTTAATATATCTAAAAAAAAATAATAATGCAAATTAAAATAGATAAAAATGATTTAAGTAAAAATTAATAATTTTTTTGTATATTTACACTTTTTTATAATTGATAAATAAAGTTTTCTTTCTAAACAAGCAAAAGCTATTTTCACAATGTTGGACTTGACCTCTGAATAGACTTTATAGTCTTCAATTTTCCCCTTCCTTATAATCTATTATTAATTATTATTCACTTTTTAAATAATTGAAAAATTCAAATTTTTTTCCCGAATAGTAAAGATAATATTTTTTTTCTAACTTTATAATTTCCAACAGAAAGAAATATATTATGAAATGTAATTATAATTAATAACAATTAAATCATTAATTTAAAATTAATTATTATTTAATTTCTTTATCTTATATTCTCTATTATTATCATTAAAATACATATCTTAATTTTATAAAATTCTGACAACGATTTCAGTTATAATTTTCAAAACATGAATATTAAATACCTACATTATAAATGTATTACCAAAAAAAACCTCAATTTATAAGGTCTCATTATAAAAGTAATATTTACATAATTGAAACATAATTTTATTAATTTTACATGAGAGATAGCACTTTTGGGATGATATCTGTTAATTGAAATTTGCCATCAGATGTCCCGTCATGTCATTATTTTATCCAGTTCTTAATGGACATAAAATTAGAGTATTGTTGTTAAATGAAATAATAGAAACAACTTTAATTTCACGTATGTTTCTCTATTATTTTTTATTTTTATTATTATTACTATTATTATTATTATTATTATTATTATTATTATTCTTTTATTTTTTATTGTTATTAAAATTACAACTTTAAAAAAACGTACATTTATAGCAAAGTCAGTTATTGATTATTATTATTAATATATAAAAAATCTATTTATTGTAAAATTTTTCGAGTCCTTCTGTTATAATTAATCTTTATACCCTATAGTAGATTGTGGTTTAAATTCTATTAAACCGTTTTTTTTTATATAAAATCAACTTTATTAATATTATAGAGGCAGAAAATATCCCTGCTCGCATTCTAACTTTTCAATAACAATATTTAAAAGTTCGATAAAAATTTCATTTAATTTTTTTTTATCTTTTTTTTGCTGCTGTCAATATATTTAAAAAAAAAACATGATCATGTGAGAATAAAAACACCTTTTTTGTTTTTTTACGAACAAATAATAATTATAAATATCAATTAACTTTTGATTGAAAAAACAAAAAAAAAATTAAAAATTTTAGTTTTCAGTAATTTAAAATAAAAATTTCAATACTTTTGATAAGAATTTTTAATTTCTTAAATTAACTATCATAATAATTAATTATAATTTTTACTTTATATTCTAGATCTGTATGTCGGTCAATTGATAAACACCATCGGAAGTGCCGAAATAAATTTCATTATCATCAAGAAGAGAAGAAAGAAGACGAGCATTCTCCAATTTATAGGTAGAGGCAACTTTTATTTTAAAACTACGAAATGAATTAGTTTCCTCCAATTTATATAAAATTCCCTCATTATCAATATTACTATAAATATACGTTTTATTTCCATATTTTGGTGACTGAATAACAAAATCCCTATTACTATCAATATTTGTAACATCAACATTTTCAATAGTTGTCAATTCGACTGATTCTTTTTTATATAAAAGAACAGAAATTTTATTCTTTGACATTATTTCAATACAATAAATATGATCATTTATTGCATTCATATTTTTAATAATCTTATCTGATTGAACAATAGGTTTACCATTATAAAAATCATGTTGTTCAAAAATTGAATGCCTTGGATTTTCACCAGCACTATAAAACATTCCATCATATATATAGCCAAAATATTTTTCCGTCGATCTATATGCAACCATTTGTGTAAAATTTTTTTTTGCCCTCAATGGTAAATCTATAAATTTTGTTTTTATTTCACTATTTAATAATTTCATTATTCCACTTTTTGTCGCAAAATAAACGCTATTATGATCAAATGAAATTGGTCTACTTATTAATTTTTCTTTACCATTTGATAAAATTATTTCCTCAAATACAAATGTTTCATTATATGAATTAGCTATTAAAAATATTGTCATTTCTTCATCTTGAACATAAATATTGTTAAATTTATCAATACCTAAACGTGAATGAACTAATTTTTTCGATGGTATTTGAATTTCATTTAGGGTTATTCCTTTATCTAGAGAATAATATAGTGCATTGTTTTTTATAATGTACCATTTTTTTTCACTGTCCATGACAATGTCGGAAAATTCACCTGATGTTCCTTCGATTTTTTCAAATTTTTCCCCTTCAGCGAAGACTAATAAACTCAGCAAAATTAACAAAATTTTATTCATTTTTCTAATTTGAAAATTGTCCTAAATTTGCAAAAAAAAAAAAGATATTTTATTCTATAGATTTGCTTTATTAGAAAATTCGTAAAAATTAAATTTTAAAAAATTACCTTTTTCCAAGAATAATGTTCTGCAATTTATTATTAATAATAATTATTTATTGATAGTTATTAAAACGAACTTTATGAGTTTCTCTATTTGTCTATTTAAATATCAACAACGCGAATAGATTTTATATCTCTCTATTTCCCCTTCTTAGTTTTATTACATAATGTTTATCAGAGTTGCAATTTTATGATTTCAGTAATTTTTTAATTTAAACCTCATTTTTTAAGATTTAATTTTTTTTGTCTTTTTTTTCAAAATCCGCGATAAAAATGGTTTCAATTATTAATTTATGTTATAAATTAAGTGATCATCCCTAGTATTAGGAAACTGCCATCAGTATAAAAAGACGACAAGTCAGTATATATATATATATATAGAAGAATTCAGGTCACGAACTGAATAGAGACTGAACAAAATCTCGTTTCTTAATTCTGCAAGCACAACAAGGAATTTTCATTCTCTGAGAGCTTGTAAGCTAAGCTTCACCGTGAAATGGGAAAAAATTCAGTTTGAATGCTTATAAACGGTATCTTTCCCCAAGCGTCAACTATATCTTCTCTCTCTCTATATATAATATATTCTTAAATTAATTTTATACAATAGAAAAAAAAATCCCTTTTGCATTTTCATTAATTCCTCGAATTTTTCTTATAAAAAACCTAATTTTCTAAAAATATATTATTTTTTCAAATTATTAAAAAAAACCTGTAAAATGTAATTTACAACAAATCAATTTTCATTTATAAATTTATTGTACAATTATATAAAACGTTATCTGATATTTTAGATTTATCCCATGGCTTCTATTTTTAATTAAATGTATCAAATTATGAATAATTTGAAATTTGCCACAAAAGTAATTACTTTTTTTTTTTTTTTTTTTTAATAATTTGTAATAATAATTTTTGTTAGTATGGACATTTTTATAGTCTTACTTGTGCATATTCCTTCGTCGACTTCACGAGCATGATGTAATAAATTTTTAATTACACATTGAAGACCGATGGCACAACTTCCGGAAAAACCGAATAGTCCTCCACAAGGTTCTCCTTCAACACGCGCACATACTTTGCAACACCTGCAATTTTTTTATATTTAGTTAAACTAAATTAAAAAAAATTACATTTCTAAATTATAATTTTTAAAATAATTAAAAAAATTACATTTCTAAATTATAATTTTTGAAATAATTCAAAAAAATTAATCTACCCTTAATTGTGTGGTCATTTATAAAAATGATAGCAGAGGGCAAATAAAATATATATATAATATATAATAATATTTCCTTGAAATTTTCAGTTTAATTTGAAGCTCTGTCCTATTTCAATTTATTAGTTTCACTTTGCAGCTTTACTTTGATCTAAAGTTAAATTAAATTTCTCGTGTTTCATTTCATTGCGCCTGAGCTTAAAATTACGTGTATGTAATTCTCACTGGAGAATTTCAAATACCTGGGTACAGAATTGGTCTTTGAATTAGACTTTCCCTAACATGCACGGATTATAACGATGAGAGAGTGCCCCTGAATTACAGCATTACACGATACTAAGAAGTTACTCGGGCGCAAACTGAATAATTGTCAATTTATTATTCTAGATATTTCCTTCCCATAATTACACAAATTTATAACAAATTCAATTTTATTTTATGGAAAAAAAAAAAATTTCCAATTTTTTTTCACGAATGAAAAAATTGAAATACTTCTCTTATAAATCAAGCGTTCAAAAAAAAAAATTGACCTTCTCCAGAAAGCAAATGGAGGACAAAGTGAAAATCAAGTCAAGGGGAAAAACTGCTGAGAGAAAAATGTGTATCACGAAAATGTCGTTGGCCTGTTAAACTGACGGAATGATTAAGTCAAGGCCTTTGAGATATAGAGATGATATGGCTATAACAGTAAGAAAAAAAATACTAGAATAAAAAGTTAGAAAGCAATTTTTTTTCAAAAAAGAAATTATTTTTTCAACTAAATGAAGCAAAATCTTTTATCGGTTTTCTGTTTTTCTAATACGATACGCAAATTTAAATGTCGTTTCAAAACTTTTGTACAGAAGCAGTTAGTTTTATAAAAAAGAAAATTTTTTTTTTCACTTTACTCGCGCGCTCATAACTCGAATACCAGAATCCAATATAACGACGGTGCATACTAAACATTTTCCAATAAATTCTCAGTATGAGCTTAAATTCGATCAATGTAAACAGATAAAATACATCTCTGAAATAACTAATCTGTAATTCCTGCACCGTCGACCATTCCATCTCTCTCTCTTTTTACAACATCAAAAAGAAGCTTTTTCTTCGAAGAAGAATGAAACAACATTTTCATACGCTTTTTCAAAACTAAATTTCTAAAAAGAAGATAATCAAAGAATACATTTAATACAAAAAAGAATTACTAATTCTCCGAAGCAGAAAATTAAAATAAGACACAATTTTCTTATTGGTAAAATGTGGTATTAAAATAATAATGAAACAATTTTCCGTTTGTACTTTTTGCAAAAAACTCTCTAAATCTGAATTAGTAAAAATGTTTACTAATTTGAATTAGTGACTCACTTTTTGCTTCTGAATTAGTTAAATTTTACTAATTGTTAGTAAAAGTTACTATTAATTAGTAAAATTTTACTAATTCAGAA